TAAACAGCCAATTAAACGATTAGAATTTAATAAGGTATTATATAATATAGTATAGTATAGTATAGTATAGTATAGTATAGTATAGTATAGTATAGTATAGTATAGTATAGTATAGTATAGTATAGTATAGTATAGTATAGTATAGTATAGTATAGTATAGTGAAATGTCTTGTAGATGGAAATTATAACCACAAGTTCGTGCATACTGTATATACAAGGGTACTGCTATGAATATGTTGTGGGTGAATATCAAGATTTTGTTATGTGAACAAAATCTTGATATTTACTGTACCCATAACCTATTACCTATACATGGCAGTAGCCTGGTATATATGTATACATGAACTTGTGGTTAGAGCTCGACCTCAACTACTATCGAAACCGCTAAAGTGGTAAACTAATCGCTCGAGATTTGCACGCGCAGGTTTGATTTTATGTATCACGTGATGCACGTTTTGAAAACCTCGTAACTGCTTCGAAACTTTCAACGGTGTTCGTAAACAATCTGCGATTTTCTAGTGGAATTGGTGCTTTAATGACTGAGAAAATTATTTTTACAGCTCTTTAATAGTAATACTTTTGACTATGTTTCAAGGAGTGAAAGTAGAGTTTACAACATTCTTGAACTGACACAAAATACACGAATATTCAGGTACAGTAATTGTTTCGCTATTTATATAGACTACAATAAAATATTCAGTACCGTTAATATAGACAAGCACACTCAGGTGTAAGATTTGTAGTAAATACTTTTTCTTTACCTTAATTTGTAGTTCTAAAACATGCTTGGGTGTTTATAGTTCTTTTCAGAACATTAGAATTACAATTCGCATAATCAATATATTACTTAAGCAATATTCCCTGACAATCCCTGTCAAACATCGCAGATTGTTTACGAACACTGTTGAAAGTTTCAAAGCGGTCACGAGGTGTTCAAAAAGTTCATCACGTGGTACATAAAATTAATCCTGCGCGTGCAAATCCCAAGGGATTAATTTATCACTTTAGCGGTTTCGATAAAATGATGATGAGATGCCAACAATATAAGAGATTCCAACAAAATCTTAATATTATTCATTTCCACTCGATAATTTCCTTCTACAAGAATTTTCAACTATTATTCAATCGAATGTAATGCCAACAAAATCAGTATAGTATGGTCCTTTTTGTATCTGCGAAGCAGATATATATGCTATCGCAAACGTACCGTACCGTGTGTTAACACATAGCTATTCAGTGACGAGCTTATATAATTGAGCCAATTTAAGCCAATCAGCGATTAGGTTACATCAATTGTTTACATCGTGCCCGCATCTAACCTGCGAACGGGCATAGTTTGGCCTCGTGTATATTCTTTGCCATTTTCACATTTTGGCAGTATTTGGCTTCAAAAATATCTTGATTTTGTCTTGTTTTCACAATTCTACTTGCGATATTTATATTCCGAAGTTATCTATCAACATGGAAACTTATCCTCATCTGGTAAGTAGTCAAATACCACATATTTTATTATATACATTTATACAGACAGTGATACAGGCAGCAAAGCAATTATTGTGTAATATATTTTAAACAGTCAAAACATAGCAGGCATTATGTTGCCAATGAACAATATCTCAGAAAACTAATGTTCTCAAGAGATATTGAATTAAATCCTGCTCCTGTACTTATGTAACTCTGTTCAAAACAACAGTCCAACTAAGTTGCCATCAAATGTAGAGTTAGAGCAAAGATTAAGATGTTATCAGTTAAAATACTTATACATTTTGGTTTTACACATTACTAATAATTAAACAAAATTTTTACAAACATTTTCAAATGCTAATAAAAGAGTCCCCACCCTCTCTCCTCATTACATTGTCATTTTGCTTTCTAACATAAATGTTTTTGTTTAGGGAGGATGACCCGCTAGAGGATGACGAAACTGGCTTGTGATGCAAAAGAGTTAAAATTTTGTTTTATGTTGCATTAGTCACAGGCCATTTTAGAATTATAGGATTGCTTGATAAGTTGAGTTAAAGTTAATAAAATTTCTTTACATGATATTGTATGTATTTTAATTTTCATTTTAATAGAGCATACATGATACATTAAGTCATTAATAAATGTGGGTACAGTATTTACCTGCAATTTTGTACCAATTTCATATATAGTTCTTATTCTGTCTGTTTTTATTATAAAAAAATGGTGGCTTTCTGACAGTTGCTTGTAGTAGAGAAGAGACTGCAATCTGAACATTCTTTGTCATATCATACAAAGTGACAATACAGCCGGGTATATACTAAATTGTCGGCTATATATGTCGTGACTATAGTTAAATATAAAAACTTTTGTTTGCGCTAGCTTTGACCGAGCTTGCCCTTAGAGTATACGGTAAAGGCGCTGCTTGCGGAAAGTGAAACACTGTCAGGTTGTGCTTTGTCATTTCTAAACATTTTCCCCCTTTCTAACTTTCAAAAGGTCATGGTTAGCAGTTAACGTGTATACAATTTAAAGAATAGGAATCGATTATTTCTTTCATCGTGTGTACTTCTGCACAACTTTTGGACCTATTGGAAGATCTGTGGACACATCTTGCAACACTATACTTGGATCCTGTCATATCCCTTTATATACCAAACTGTACCAAATATTCTAGCTTCTGCTATGTTAATGTTGGCACCCGTATAAGAATATAATTTCAGCTAACCTTATATAAAATGTGTAAATCTGTTGCCTTGATTTTTTCATTTTCGCTTTTTCTGAAGCACGTTTCTAGCCCGAGCCATTTTAAGGACTTAATGTGCTTTTTGGTTGTTTTTTTTTTGGGGGGGGGTATGCTCCGGTTTCGATTGGACGGGAATCTCCAACAAAACTTTTCTCCAAAGTTCGCAACTATGCACTATATAGCTAGTCTCCCTCGCAGCCGCTCTTTGTGTCGAGTTTCTCCCCACGAGCAGCTGCTCACTCGAGCACAACATTCCTTTCCTGAAAACAACCAATCACAGTAACGCTTCTAAATTTTGAAAACACGACTTTGCACTTGTTAAGATATTTATGTCACTAAATTTATTTAGATATTTATGTCGCTAAATATATCTGATTGGCTAAAGTAAGACGAAGAGAATGGTGTGTTGAGCTCGAGTGAGCTGCCAATCGTGGGGTGAAACCTTGACACAAAGTGTGGCTGCGAAGGAGACTACTATATAGCCAGCAGTTTACTCAATAGCTAGCTGCCGGCTGTATAGTCACTTCGAAATATAAATGTTTACTCAATAATTGTGCATGAAATTTGTTCATAGCAATGATGCAATTTCTTTGCGCAGATACATGTACGCCTAGCGTACCTATTTTTTGTAGATGCCCCTGGACGAATTCTTAAAACGACCCCGATTTTTTTTTCGCACTACGATATATTTAATCTCGGTTAGTCTTCAAACGCCGATGCTGAAAGAAAAGTGTGTCGCAACAGCTTTTTGCAGGTTCCCAACAAAACAATTTACGGACATTTCAAGGACTATACTCAGTCCACTCAAGGATCTTTTAATTAATATTTGTATGCTGTTTTAAACACTTCTCAAGGTCTTTTGACAGTTTTGTTCAAATTAATTTTTCAATTTAAGCACTTTTCAAGGAGTTCAAGTACCAGGACGAACCCAGAATTAATGGCATACTTCGAAACCCGGACCGGACTTGCACCCGGACTCGGACTCGAAGAAAATCCGGACTCGAGAAAAACCTGGACCCGGACTCGAAAAAAATCCGAACTCGTCTTTGAGAAAACCCGGACTTGACTTTTGAAAACCGGGAGTCAAAATAGAAAAAAAAACAGATTCGAAACAAGGCCTCGAATGGAAAGGTTTTTTAATTGCAAAGGATTAACATTCAATAGTTATTAACATGATAAACGATAGTATCTTTGTATCTTCATCTCTATATTTTCTTCTAGTGTTCATTAAAAGAACAATCACTTAGGCACTTAATTAAAAACTAAAATGTATTTATGCATACTTCCATAGGTAGTAGCTATACGAAGGTAGCATGCTGGTTCTCAATATAACTTGATTTATTGTCGAACTTCATTGGTCCAACATGCTACCCTCGTAGCTACTCGTAGAAGTACGCAAATACATTTTAGTTTTTAATTAATTAAGTGCCTAAATGGTTTAGTTCCAGTATATCTAAGTGATTATTCTTTTAATTAACATTAGAAGAAAATATAGAGATAAAGAGACCATCGTTTATCATGTTAATAACTATTGTTATTACGTTTATCCGTTTCCTTTTTCAAGCCAATAATGATCAGGCTTTTAGCTGTCGAATGCTACCTTTAATTGTATCATTGTGATCAAAAATAGCCAAATACGATCCGATTTAAATTTGCTTGTCGAAATCACAAATTTTTCCACTGTTGGGAATTGTATGTTAATATATTTTCCGTCGGAAAGAGCGTGGAAGTGGGGAGTGTGGTGATGCAAAAGAAGGTTGTTTATTTGCACGATGGTATATAAATACAGGTGTGGACAGCATGAGATTCATCACGTGTAACAGAAGACACAGACTACACCGAGGTTTACTTTACCTTTCAATGCATATTTTCAGGAGATTAGTGCTGCTGCACTTCTTTTATTTGTTTCAGGCCGTCGATTTCCTCGTGCAAGCAAAATCTGCTTCAGGTGTGGAAGGTAGAAGAAAGAAAAAGCAAGGTACAAAAAATAGCAGAAGAAGAAGCAAGGTAGAAGGTAAAAGCAAGGTAAAAAAAATGTACAAAATGTAACTACAACAGTGGATTCCAGTCACAATCCTACGTACCTACAAGGCCATTGTCTTGGGGAGTGTCGCAAAAGAAAACATGAAGAACCCCAGAAGCAGTACATGATAGGAATGAGAAGTTGATGACAGATGGATATGAAGATAGACCAACTTTTATTATACAATTAGACTGGTTCCCAGAAGCCCATATTGTGAAGGTACGGGCATCTTTTTCAAAAAGCTGGCAACATTGCTAGCTTTGTTAATTCGAATATGCTGATTTCGAAAATCAATGTTGCCAGATTCAAAACTTATGTTAAAGGGGTGTAATTCGCATTTTAATATATGACGTCATAAACCCACGTGAGTTTGACTTAATTTGCTATATACAGCAAAAAGGTGGACAAATTCGTCCTGAATACGACGTTTTCTTTGCAACATTCACATATTTATTTAATTAAAATGCGCCAAATAAAATTTCTATTAAATTGTGACACGCGACCCATCACGTGTCCAGCAATAATGACACAAGCATCGATTGTATGACGTCATATTCCTGCAGGAAAGTTCTTTCTGTTTTATTAACTAATTATAAACCAAATCTTACGAGTACCTTAACACATTTATTTAGCATACATGTATGCACTCTCACATCATAATCTGATGAAACATTGCTTGTTGAAATATTACCAACGTCCAAGTATAAGATTCAGCTTCAACGTCAGAGGCACATCATGGACATGCTCTGTGGTAGCTTATTAATGGATAAGTCGTTCTCCGATTTGCCGCAGCAACATAGTCCGGAACACACAATATTTGCTTTCTTGCACTTGCACCGCAGAGTTGCACAACCAGTGGTGCACTTGCATGTAATCATCTCCACACATGCTTTCGGAATTGGGTCACGTGTCATCAGGACTGGAACCAGCTTGTCATCCATAAGTTTCCAACCAGATTCCTCAGGCTTAGGCAGAATTTGCTTTCGACAATGCACCTGTCGCCACACCATAGCCTGATAATGAGCTCTCATTATATGGTACTTCACGGCGTCGCTTGTTGGTGGAAGTATATCTGGAGTACCAGCCTTAGCAAATAGCAGAAATCGAGCCATATCCACGGATGGTACTTTTGTCTTGTAGATTCTGCAAACAAACGTTTCTGCTCTTTTAAGTGTGTCTGTTGTCAGAGTTCCTTCTCCGAGGGAAAGGAGCAGATGAAAGTAATCTTTCAACACCGTCCATGAGGTCTTCTTGGAGTGACCAAACAGGTACGAGGTGGTGTCGCAGCCGGTGATCGCATGAAATTGTAGAATGGCCTTCTCTGATTCTGCTGGAAGCTTACGATAGACATCGTCTAAAGGGATAAATGTGGGTTTCTTAGCAGTTCCTGCTGCAATCCAGACTTTCGAAGTTATCAGATGTAGATGGGCCAACAACAGCAGTAGCACATCTGTGTCACGGGCTGAAACGACAACATTCTGAGCAAACCCGTTGTTGTGTATAACATGTAACACAATGCGGGTATCCGCCTCCTCTCCGTTGATGCCTCCCCTTTCATTACTTCGTAGAGGTTGGCAAATGTGAGGGGCTTGTTCTTGGAAAGGGAATCACGGAACGTAGTTTTAGGCTCTTGTTCCGCATTTTGTAGAACTCTAACCTTAACAAACTCTTCGAGTTGGGACTGTCCCAAACTTCGTGCATTTAGCAACGACTGCTCAATCTCCGAGGTTGCCAAGTCCTTGGTCGCGATATTCTGTAATTCTTCGTTTGACACACACAAGGAAAAAGCATTAAACCTCTGCAATGTCAAGTACAGTGCATTCTCCGCATCATTGTCGTGAATTTGCCTTGATAGTCCACCCTCTTTGTGAATTAGGCTGTCATCCGTTTTACAGTTGAACATCAGTGCAGTTTCAGCGGCGACATGAGAACGCAGATTGTATGAGAGAGCCCATCTGCTTAATGCTGAAGCTGTTTTGGTTATACCCACCACACCTCCGCCTTTCTTTCCAGTCGCATTCAACCATTCTTGAGCTTGGTCTGGGCTCACTTGGTTGAAATCGGCTGCAGATCGTTTGACAACGAAATTGCCCTTCTTAAATTCCTCAAGCACTTTTTCCGGTAACTGATGCATCTCTGCGAGATAGATTGGTCCCCATCTTGCGTAATAAGGTACCTCATATAATCGTACCTCATAAAATAAGGCAGCATGCATCTGAATGAAAACAAGTGCAAGTCCCATATGCCATCACGCTGGGCTCTAGTAAACATTAACAAAATAGATACCATCTCCAGATAACTCCACCAAAAATAAAAATTTGCATTTGATGATCGCTCCTCTACGAATTTATCCATGACATCTTGAAGCCTGAAAATTTGAAAATATATATAAGTCGAAGTAGACAAGAAACGTGTAAATGTTAAGGCTGGGAGACAT